AGGCCCCTCCTGCATTCTAGATCATGGAGACTGGAGATCTGTTCCCTGAGAATCGAGTGGTGCTGCTTGTCTGCTGCCCACCTGCCAGGCAGGGTCTCTCCCCTCCATACTGAGCCTCTGCCCTCAGATTTAGGAGAGGGTTTGCTGGACTGGCCTTGTAGAAATGCAGGAGGGGACTTCCAGACCTGTGAGAAAGTTAGAATCTCCACTGAGCAGTATCCAGTCTGTCTGGGGGCGGCTGATGTGGAAGAGACCATCAGTTGCTCATATGCAAATTCAGACTGACCTGAAGAAAATGAAAACAAGTCCATGGAGAGCCAATATATGACCTTGAATCTAATCCACCTAAATTTAGAGATCATCTGCAGAACAGAGTTGGTGCAGAAACATTAAAGACTGAAGACCAGAAGAGTAGTAGGGTGGCCTCAGAGACCTCGGCTTCTGGACTGCAAAGTCAATCACTCCCCTCCTTTTGCTACAGAAACCTCCACCTTTACATTTCTAATGCTCACAGTCAGTCCTGATAACCATTATTCACTGTTGTAACACAAGACACCTATCCCCATCTCCTTTCCCCACTTTTTATTGGTCTTGGTGTCTTAGTTCCCCTTTATACACACCCCTGAGATTTTGCTTTGTCTGTCTCCTACCGGATTGGGACTCCCAACTCACTTCACATCTAACATACGTCTGAGTTACCCACACGACCCCAAAAAATGCCCAGTCATCAGAAATGTACTTACAGTCCAGTTTTCCCACTCTGGCTTGTGCATGAGATTGCTTGGTTGCGTGGTTAGTCTATTCTCAGTCCTTCATGTCTCTCTCTGTAATTTTCTTTTAACAATCTCGGGTTTTATTCTTGCTCTCTCTGGGAGGGGGTCACCCTTTAGGAGCAGGCCCCCGAAACCATGGCAGCACACTTGTCCTCTTCCACCGTGGCTGCCGCTCCAAGTGTGCAGAAAATCCCAGATGCGACCCCAAATACATGAGAAATTTTGTCGATGCCCAGGTTACCAACAGACACTGAAGAAATCCAATCTGTAATCATTTTAGTGAGTGTGAGGTTTTCTTCAATTTTGCAAAATTGGGCACACAACCTAGTAGGCAGGCCGAAGGTCTGCATGGGGAGCTTTCAAAGAGTTTTATTTCCCTGCTTGGAGAGTCCCTCCCCCAGTTAGCATGCGGTTCACAGTCTAGCCCAGATGGTGCCCAGGGCCTCAATGACTTATTCTCGTATAAAGTTCCTAGTCCTAGAACAGAGCTCTTCCCCCTCCCCTATTTCATCCTGCTCACACACCTCAGGTGTGTCTCAACCTGTGTCTGGTGTAGCAATCTTGTGCCTGTTATTCTGAAGGAATTTCACACATAGTCCTCTACAGTATTACCAATGTCACCCGCCAAGATCTGCTTTCCTTCCTTTACAATTGTTGGTCTTTTGTCATCATTGAAACAGAAGAGGACTGCTTTCTTTCTTTTTTTGATCTCTTGTGTCAAAGATTTCCTTACTTTCATATCATTAAAAACTTTGATAGCTTCATCATTCACTCCAGAAGCCATAGTACCTACGGCTGTGGCTGCAACGGCTTCTTAGGCTCAGGCCCTGTGGCATTAGGGAGGAGCTGGAGGAGGAGGGCATAGGCTACAGAGAGTGTGAGTCATGTCAGGAGCCACAGTCTAAGAGCAGTCCATGATACTTTTAATATTCTTCTCCACCACCATAGGTCAAATCAATCAATATGTCTATGGTCTTCCTTTTTCATTGTCCACCTTCCCCATGCATGGTGTTGTTGGTGGTTATGTGCCGTGGAGTCGGAACCGACTCATAGCGACCCTATACGGGGTTTCCTAGGCTGTAAATCTTTGCGGGAGCCAAAAGCCTCATCTTTCTCCCGCAGAACAACTGGTAGTTTCGAATTGCTGACCTTGCGGTTCGCAGCCCGATTCATAACCACTATGCTACCAGAGCTCCTTTCCCCATGCATACTGTGTTTGTTGACTGCTGCCTCCATGAGTGTTGATGATATCTGATGAGCACAATTAAGTGTTCCAGACTACTCATTCTTTGCAGTGCTGTTCATGGCTTGTCATGATCCACACATTCAAAAGCCTTTGTATTCAATAAAGCACAGGTAATTATCTTTCGGATATTCTCTACTTTCAGCCAAGATCTATCTGATGTCAATATCCCTTATTTTCATGTCCTCTTCTGAATCCTGTTTGAACTTCTGGAAGTTCTCTGTCAATGCATGGTTACAGCTGTTTTTAAATTATCTTTAGCGGAATTTTACTTGCATGCAATATTAATGATATTGACCAATGATTTCCACATTGTTTGGGCACATGTCTTTGGAATGGACACAAATATGGATCTCTTCCAGTCAGTTGGCCAATTGGTTGTCTTCCAGATTTCTCAGCTTAAATGAGTAAGTGCCTCCAGTGCTGCATCAGTCTGTTGAAAGATATCAAATTGCATTCTATCAGTTCTCAGTGCCTTGTTCTTTGCCAGTGTCTTCAGTGTACCTTGAGTTGCTTCCTTGGGATCATCTTGATCATCTGTTACCCTTTTTTTTTTTTTTTTTTTTGATCATCTGCTACCTTTTTTTTTTTTTTTATGATTTATTGTGAATTATGTGATAGTTTACATGGGAGAATATTAGTTTTACATTCATTCTATCGTATATCATGTCATTGCCATGGTTACAATCCCCTGCATGCAATCTTTCCCCCGTGCCCCCCAGGTCTTCAGCACACAGTCGCTCTCCCTCTCTGGATCTAAAGTCTCCAGCTGCTCCATCGCTCCACATCATCATCTTTGGCTCCACCTCAGGCATCACTGCTTCTCTGGGTAGTGTCCCGCTCTCTGCTTTTCTCCCTTGATGGTCCCAGGGACCACTGCTCCTAGACTGGTAACATAGTGGTTACATATCGGGCTGCAAACCAAAAGATTAGCAGTTCGAAACTACCAGCAGTTCCGTGGGAGAAAGATGAGGCTTTCTGTTCCCGTAAAGATTTACAGCCTCGGAAACCCTGTACAGGGTGGCTATGAGTCGGAACCAACTGCACAGTACATAACCACCATATATATATATGTAATTGTAGCTCGTAAGCGCCGTCGAGTCGGTTCTGACCCAAAGCCACCCTGTATAGGGTTTCTGAGCAGTGAGTTTGAACCACTGACCTTGCAGTTTGTATTTATGTCTCTCCATTACCTTCTTGACTGCATTCTGGATTCTGCAGAGAAATCAGAGCTGAATGTGGTTTGCTTGCCTTTGTATTTAACACTTTCTCTTTTCCCTAGCTGCTTTGAGGATTCTTGGTCTTTGATTTTGGAGAGCTTGATTTTCTTTTGGGGTCTATCTTTCTTGGGGTTCATTGAGCTTCTTGATTCCTTATCTTTTCATTTTCCAGGAAGTTAAAGAAATTTTCTCCTAGCAGCTCTTCAACTGTCTCCTCTGTGGACC